TAAATTTTGTACATAAATAAATTAATTTATTTTATGCACCAATTATCTGTTTTACTTTATTTCATTTTTCTGTATTTATTGTATGCATGCAAAGTACATGTGGAAGCATGGGGAGAAAGTTCACGCTCGAAAGGGAGAGAAACCCTAGGGAAAAGAAAATTTGGGCGGCAATTGTAAAGAGGGAAAGTATATTTTCCCCACTTTACGTGTAATTTGATATCAAGCAATTAATGCAAAATCATTTCCCCTTTTGGTTTGACCAAATTTCCCCGAAGAAACCACCCATTAACTTTCCAGAAAAACCAACCTAAACTCCATCTTCATCATCGTGCATCATTCTCTCTCTACTTCAAAAAAAATATTTTCCACCAGAAATTTCCCCCATCGCCACCGCGAAACTTACTGTAACAACAAGTATCATGGCCAGATCGAAGAAAAACCCAGCCCCAAAACCCAACCTTAGGCATTTCCAGACAGCCGAAGCCGAGGCACGATTCAAGAACCTAAAAAAATGGCAAGTATATTTGGAAGACAGTTTTGTTGGTGCATCAGAGAACGAAGAGCCGTTCGGACCGGAGGTCATGGATATGGTTCGAAAGTACAACTGGGAGAAGTTTGTACGCCACCCTAAAGTCGTAGCACCGACAATGGTCAGAGAGTTTTACGCTCATCTGAAATACCCATCCCAACACACAGTGAATGTTAGAGGGAAACTCTTACGGTTTTACCCTTCACCACTCAATAGATATTTCAAGTTGGGGAAAGTGGAGGATCAACATAAGAGGTTTGTGGCTGAGGCAGACCAAGAGACTTACGACAGATTACTCAAAGATCTTTGTTTTGGGTGGGCTAAGTTTGATGGAAATACACTAACAAGAAAAAGGGTCGATCGTCGAGCCCTTAAGCCGGTTGTAAAAATTATGGAATCATTTTCTTAAAGGAAAACTTATGCTAACCTCTCATAACAAAATCGTGCTCGTGAAAAGACTAATGCTTTTACACTCAATAATACAGGGGAGAAAAATCAAAGTTAGAGAACTCATATTCGAATAAATCCATGAATGCGCCAAAAGAAACCAGGGTAATCTCTTATTTCCTAACTTGATAACTACTCTGTGCAGGAAAAAGAAAGTCCCCGAGGAACCATTTGAGGATTTCATCAAATCCAAGGAGGGAATAACCTAGAAGAAAGTGCTAGAATTGATGAGTTTTGATGACAATATCCCACATGAAGGTTTGGAGAAAGGAGCAAAATCTGTTGTTGTGGCCAGAATGGCAGCAATGGTCACGTACACACGAGAAACGTGCGAGAAGATCGAGTGCCTAGAGAATCACATAGAGATATTCTTTGGGTATGTCAAGGCACGGGACGTACAACTCAATGGCTTTTTCAAGGGGTTGCTCCCGATCACAAACGATAATCTGTCGCCTTTCCCCAATGTCATCCTGAAGCACACTGCTGTCGGTAACATATTCCAAGCCTTGACACCGATTGTTCCCCCAGAGGTACCCACAGATGTTCCACCACTGGACACTCATGTATCGCCCATACCAGAGGAAGGCCACGTCACAGATGAATTCCTCAGTTTCTCCTCATTCTCTACTTTCAAAAGCACTCAAGAGATTTCATCTAACTTCTTCACCAATGAAGATTTCACTCCAGCCCCGTCTCAACCCGAGCAAGCTCTAGTACCATCCCCCGTCCGTCAAGCAACACCAATCGTTGAAACAGCTCAGAGCCAAACTCCAGTTCCTGCATAACCCACTCCAACGAAAGAACAACCAACACCAGTATGAGCCCCGAGCACTAAGGGACGCATCAAGCGAACGACAGGTCGTGTCCTTCAGTCATCCCCATCGATGATTACAACAGTAGATTCAGGATCAGAGAGCCCTTCCTCCTAAGTGACGCCGAACGAGGGCATCCAATCAAGCCACACCACCATAGTAAGAGCACATTTTTAATTTTTTTTAGCATTCTCATATAGATACATGTAGTTTAGTTTTTCATGCATAAGTTTGGGAGAGGTATTGTAACATACTTTGTTAAAAAGTAATTGATGATATTTGGTTGAAAATTTTGGTTGTCATGATATAAGCATGTTAAGTCTATCGTTTGGAAAGGATTAGGGATACCCAATGATGAATGCATTATTTGATTGCCTAAGCTAGAATTATTGTTAAAGAATGTCTAAAGAAGAGAACCAACCCTAGGCCTGATTCTTTAAAAATTTACAAACATGATTGTAAGCTTTCCCTGTTTGAGGTAATCAGTAAAATTTTTAGGAAATAACTTTATGCTTGTAGAGACATCGAAAAATTTTAAGGTTGAGACTAAACTCCTTACTATTTAAAACTTGAAGAATAAAAGGGACACTCCTCTATGTAATGGCATAATCATAAAACTCCATGAAAAACTAAGAGTTTCTAAGGCATATGAGTGAATAGAAGTAGTCACAGGATAACTCTACCAGACTAGCTTGGGGGTGGAAGGTATGCTCCCTTTTCACCAAGAGTGTGGGAAGGTAGGTGTGATGAGCTGACTCCCAAAAAAAAGTTGATAAATAACAAGGAGTAGAAACTAAGCCTGACAAATAATTTGATGCCTTGATAAACCAGAAGCACTTACTTTAAGTTTTTTAATTACTTTAATGCATTGACTGATTACAATCACGTACACAGAATAGCAAGGAATCTTGACAAGGTAAGGTACTTGAGTGATATGACAGTTAAACATGTTGAGGCCAACTTTTTACTGAGGGATGAAATCTCAACCCACATGATTTTCTTAACACTACTTTGCCATGACAAAATTTAATTTTTTTTCTCCAGCTATTGTATATTTCTTGAGGATAAGAAATAGCTTAAGTTTGGGGGGTGATAACTCCATAAAAAGTCTCAATTTCTATTATTTTCACTTAAGTTATTACTCGTCTAAACAAAGTATGCACATCATTTTAGTTGCATTTAGGTTATATTTGTTTGAGATGGATAAGTTTTTCTTCGACAAACTTTATTTGGTTTGACTGATGCTGCTGAGGAGAAAGGGTCTGTGTAGATTGTGTATGTGTAGGAAATTTACTGAGGAAGAACATTTCAGTCGCAACAACGTAATTTGTATGGGCCAATGGAATAGAGAAGTAAAAGAAAGTGAGGAGAAGATTTATCTCACCAATGTAAGGTTTATCTGGAAAGTCTGAAGCGGATATGACGAAATTGCCTATGTCACATGCCAGTTGTATGACTTCTTTCACGTGTAAGCAAGCCCTTAAGATTTTGACAACAACCAACCATATTTCTTTTTTTAGCCTTGACAAGACAATAACATGTATCTAGGGAATCTTTACTTATGCGAAACCCTAGGAGATTTCCCTTTATAAATACCTAGCCATAGCTGCCAAAAAAAGGAGATAAGGAAGTTAGAATATCTATACTTGAAGTGTAAAAGAGCAACTGTTGTGCTTCCCTACTGTTTACCAACCGACCTTCCTTGGTGTCCTCTATAGCCAGACTGTAGCAGAACGACGGTCAGGTCTCAAGAGAGGCTGACTGCCAAGGTAGGCGCTGTGTTGATCAGAATTGTCATGACAGAGCCCCCAGTTTTAGGAGTCATTCTTCGTTTGTTCTTAATTTCTTTACGTATTTGGGGTTGTATTAAAAATATGATACTTGGTTGAATTTTTGATAACACCATGAACTATCTTACTTAGTGTTAATCTTTGTTTTGCCTAAACAATTATTTTATTCTTTATGAATGATGAAGTATGATTCTTCTCATGACTGTTTTGTTCATTGTTTGAATATTTTACCTTGACACTAAAAGAGCTTCGAGAGATTGCCTGGGGTCTAGGTGAAATATGTCTTGGCAATGTAAGAGCTTCGAGAGCTTGCCTTTTGTCTAGATATTGATTCTTAGATTCAAGAGAATTAAGATAGATCTACGTGAACAATGGAATGGATCTGGGATGGTGATGTTCTAGCTTGTCTACCTTAGCGATAAGGAGTGGGTTTCAATTGACTAAATGGGATATATGCTAAAGTAGGATAGAAAACGACTATAGTTTACGCTAAGAGGTATTGCTACAACAACAATCTGAAAAACCAAGGGTGTAGTTAACGTTGAGTAGCATTGCTATAGCAACAATCTAAGAATACTTAGTAATCATGTCGGGCAACTTAAACATCTCATAGCAATTCATTCTGGACTTAGAATAATTGCTTATCAATACAAAAGATTAGCATGAGTGCTCTGTGATAAGTCTGAATATTCGAGGTTGTTTTGAATATATTTGAATCAACGTTTTTTTTGCTTTATTTTTTTTACTTCAATAGTTCTGCATATTTATTTTGTCTCGACCAAACTTTTCTGCAATCATACTTTATAATATTTTCTTGCTAATAGTTTTCTAGTTTGACAAGATAGTAGGAATTAGTGTGTGACTACTAGTTTTGGTTGTGGTGAAGCTTAAAAACTTTTGACCAATCCATGAGGATATGATATTTCACTTACCCTATATTACTTGATTCGATCGTGTATACTTACAAAGAATTGTTTTCCTCAATATAAACATTTACAAGTGATTATCAATCCATATCAACAGATTATTTCTCTTTATGAATTTGCAAACTGTAGATCTCGTGACACTTGGATAGGAATAGCCTCTACCCACTTTGTGAAATAATCGATTACCACTAAGATGAATCGATGCCCATTTGAAGCTTTTGGTGTGATTTCCCCAATTACGTCCATACCCCACATGGAAAACGGCCAAGTGAGCTCATAACATGCAAAGGCAAAGGCGATGTTTGAATTTTATCTACATATATCTGGCATTTATGGCATATTCTTATGTAATTGACATAATCTGTATGAATCGTGGCCCAATAGTATCCATACCTCATGATCTTCATGACCATAGATAAACCATTTGCATTTGTTCCTCATATTCCTCCATGTACCTCTTCCATTACATCTTTTGCTTCTTTGGCAGTTACACATCTCAACAAAACTTGGTCACCGCCCTTCTATATAAGATCTCTCTATCAAGAAAGTATCCAGTTTCTATTCTTCTGATTGTTTTCTTTTCAATTTCAGATGCGCTAGGGGGATATGTCTGATATCTCATATACTGTAAGATATCATGATACCATGTATGGCCATCCATTTCTTCTTCTAGAAGATAACAATGAACAGGGGTCTCATATACTTGCATCCTTATTGACATCATGTTTGTCTTCTTATTAGCTTTAAACATTGCATCCAATGTAGCCAAAACATCAGCCATTTGATTTTCTTCTCGGGGGAGATACCTGAATGTGACATCCTTAAATTCTTTCAGTAGTTCGAGGGCCAAATTGCGATATTGAACTAGCTTCGAGCCCTTCGTCTCCCATTCTCCCCTTAGTTTGTACACTACTAATGAGGAATCTCCATATACTTTAAGTGTTTTGACCTTTGTTTCAATGGCTGCTTTTAACCTCATAATGCATTCTTCGTATTCTGCCATGTTGTTGGTGCAAAAGATATCTAATATACTTGTTAAAGGATAGTAGATCTCTTATGCGAAAATCAACACTACCCCAATTCCTTTTCCTAAAGTGTTAGAGGCTCCATCAAAGTACAATATCCAAGAATTGTTGCCCCTGGCGCTTTCTTCCTCGATAGAAATTCACATCAAATCCTCATCTGGGAAATTGAAGTTTAGAGAGTCGTAATCTTTTGAGGCACGACTTGAAAGAAAGTCGGCTATGTCACTCCCTTTTATTGCCTTTTGGCTCACATAGACAACATCAAATTTAGACAACAACATCTTCCATCTAGCCAGTCAGCCAGTCAGAGTAGGATACTCCATCAAAAATTTTAATGGATCCATCCTCATTATCAACCATGTGGTATGGTATAACATGTACTGCCTGAGTCTCCGGGTTGCCCAAACTAAAGCACAACACAACGTTCGAATCGGTGGGTATCGAATCTCGTAATCGGTAAACTTTTTGCTCAAGTAATAAATGGCTCTTTCCTTTTTTCCTGATTCATCATGTTGGCCCCGCATGCATCCCATTAAATTATCAAAAATCGTTAAATAGAGAATTAATGGCTTGCCAGGTACTTGAGCTACTAGTATGGGAGCATTATACATGTATTTCTTGATAATTTCCAGAGTCTCCTAGCATTCGTTATTCCATACCTCAATATTATTCCTCCTGAGCAATTTGAACACCAGATCACACTTATAGGTCAACTAAGAAAAGAATTGTGATATATAATTTAGTCTTCCCAGTAACCCTCGAACTTCTTTCTACGTGTGAGGTGCTAAAAGGTCTTGAATTGCCTTGACTTTATCTGGATCGATCTCGATTCCTTTCTGGCTCACCACGAAGCCCATTTGTTTCCCCGATTTTACCCCGAACGTGCATTTGGCTGGATTGACATTTTATTGGTACTTCCTTAATCTTTGGAACAATTTTCTCATATTCTGTATATGTTCTTCTTCCGTTAGGGACTTGGAAATCATGTCATCCATGTATACTTCAATTTCTTTGTGCATCATGTAATGAAAAAGAGTTACAATGGTTCTTTGATAGGTTACCCATTAGTTTTCAAACCAAAAGACATCACTTTATAGCAGAAAGTCCCCCACACGGTTATAAATGTTGTTTTCTCCATGTCCCCCAGATTTATTTTTATCTGATTATACCCCGAGAAGCCATCCATGAAGGAAAACTATAATGCCCCACAATGTTGTCTACCAGAGTATCTATATGAGGTAAGGGAAAATTATTCTTTGGGTTAACCCTATTAAGGTCTTGATAATCCATGCACATGCATACCTTCCCATCTTTCTTAGGTACCAGAACTATGCTGGCTGCCCATTCGGGATACTTTGCCTCATGAAGGAAACCTGTATCGATATGTTTTGTCACTTCCTCTTTGATCTTGAATAACATTTTTAACTTTATTCTCCTAAGTTTTTTATTGAAATGACATGCATTATGGTTTAATAGGCAAATTATAGACTACTATATCTGTGCTTAACGCAAGCATTTCTTGATACGACCATGCAGAAACATCTTTAAACTCTCAGAGCAAACTTAGCAATTTTAACCTTATTTCTGTGGATAGAGTAGTGCCAATTTTTATCTCTCTTTATTTCCGTTGTTCCCAAATTCATGAGATATGTTTCTTATTTGTGGGGTAGAATCTGTTTCTCCTCTTTTTCCACCAATCTTAATAGCTCATTAGGAACTTCACATTCTTCCTCATCTTCACGCTTGTTTACTTCTTCTAGACGCAAAGGTCGTTCAAAATCTATCTTGTAACTGGCCTCATGAACATTTATGCTAGTGTTATTGTGACATCTTCTTAAAATTTGGCTCAGATGTATTGAATGTAAAAAATACAAAATATAGAACAAAGAATATGATGCAAAAATGTGAAGAATGAAAGTGATTGCCATTTAAGAAAATAAGAAAATAATCTTTTGTTAATCAATTTGATAACATTGAGTTCTACAAAAAATTCTTTTAGATACTTTCAAAATGCTAACACGAGTTATTTCTGGACATTACTTAGGGTTAACCGTAAAAACTTCAGGGAGGCCTTTAGCTATCCAGTTGTCAAGCTTTTCACCGGGGAAACAAGGATAGATTACAGCTAAAAACTTTCCAGGCTGGTTGCCCTTGGTAATCATGTTGATAAGAAACCCTTCTAAAGCTTCTCCTATCAATTTCTCCTCTTTTATCAACTCCTCGATCCTGATGGCACTGGCTAGCTGTTGTTATACGTCGTATACTCCTCCGAATTTGAATGAGTTCTTTAGAGGAGGGAAGGACATGCGTTCTCCAATGATATCCTCTCATTTCAACTTGACTTTTCTTGCTTCAGCTCTTGGCTACATTGCTGGAAGGTGGGCTTAAAGCCAATCCCAAAACGATCTATATTCCATTCGATAATTACGGGACGTACCATTCCCTGTAGATCATTTCCCAGTCTCTTGCCAGTCTTTGCCCCTCTTCTTAGGGTTTGCCTTACTATCATCTTGGTACAATCCGATAGTGCGGGGCGCATAATTTTGCTTCATTCGGCCACATACGTCGCATTAATGAAATCTAAGGCCCTGAAAGAGCATTCCAAGGTATTTTCATTGATGTCGATGTACGGGGCATCAAATGTTATAGAAATAATTAATTCTTTTTGGCTCCGATGCTGACCAACCTCCAATCAATCATGAATTTTAACTTTCGATGTAGAGATGAATGAACTGCCCTTGCAGCGTGGATCCAGGGCCTCCCGGTAAGCAGTTATAGGTCGGGTGAATGTCTATTACCACGAAGTCAATGTTGTAGATGGCAGGCCCAATTAACAAATGTATCTCCATTTTCCCAATTATATTCTTTTGGGTTCCATCGAATGTCCTAATGACATTGTGATAAGCTCTCATGTGCGAGCTATCTACGGGTACCCTTTGCAAAATAGCCAAAGTTATCACGGTTAATGCAAACCCGTCATCTATTAGAACCCCTGGTAAGACATGGTCGTGGCAGTGTGTCGTGATATTTAAAGCCTTGATGGATCTCATCCCTTCTTTCGGGATCTCATCATCAGTAAATGTGATATAGTTATCTGCAACTATGTGTCCCACGAAAATATTCTTAGGGATGAATGTCTGGTTGAGTAATTTTAGCAAGACATTTCGATGTACTTTTGAGTTGATTAACAAATCTAATATTGAGATTTTGGCCCGTTGCTTGTGAAACTGCTCCAATATGTTGTATTCGCAATGCTTTAAGAACCTCAAGAATTCATGGCCCTGAGCTTCAGTCATTGGCTCATTAATGATTGGTGGAGGTTATTTGCTGAAAAGTTTTTGTACTACCACTGCCTTGGCTTTGGCTTTTTTCTTTTCTGCCTCTGTGGACGTCTAAGGCGAGTAACACCTTCCACTCCTCGTGAAGTGGCCTACCTCACTTATTTCTTTCGTGAATGACTTCTTTTCCTCTCCTATCTTTTTAAAAGACCTTGAACCTTCTGTTATAGATACACTTATTGCATAACTCCAAGGAGCATGTCGTGTGTCATTGAATGGGAAGTGAGACGAATTTTTAATCACAACCTTTGGAGTTATTGACGATGAGCTCTTGTTTCTAGGTTTAACTGTGATGAACACATGCTTCCTCGTTCCCTGCATTCTGTTAGAACAATCCGTCATACAAACATCCATCTTTCATTGGCGCTCTTCTTTATTAAATAATTCCATTTTTCCATTGTTCATCATCTCTTGAAAAAATCCTCAAAATTTATAGCAATTTTGAATGTCGTGGTCCTTCTTTTAGTGATTCTTACAATATATTTAACGTTCAATCAGTTTTAGCTCGGAATCACCCATGATCATTTCTAATGTGCATAGTTGTCTGAACACCCAGCTAAGAGAAGATTTGACTTCTGATACATCCCTCTTTATCCTCTTATTCTCCCTTTCATCAATCATATTGACTTTCTTCCCCCAATGATTGGGCAGGGGGTGAGTGTTCGCAGCTGGTGTTTTAAACTCTAGGTCTCCAGTGTTAATGAGATTTTGCACAATCATTTTTAATGTCAGGCAGTTCTCGATGTCATACCTGATGATCCCTGCATGGTACTTGCAGTGGGAGTTGGCATTATACCAATAAGGGTAAGGCAGCTGTAGCAGAGTCAACTTATAGGGGTGTATCGAATTTGCTTTTAATACCGATTCATATATTTTGGAACATGTCACTGAAACATGTGAGAAAGTCATCCTCGTAATCTCCCTTCTTGGCCCTCTATTCTCATGGGCATTTACTTTCTCTATCCTAGGCTAGGTGATCGTAACGCTAGCCGTGAAGTTTTTGTGGTAAGTGTTTGCATGATTCACCTTGTTCTTATTCCTTTTAAAATAGGGCTTCTTTGACCCTTCTACTCCATCAATTTTACCACTCTTAATGGCATTTTCAATCAGTTCTCCTAAAATGAACAGGTCAACAAAATTCTTAATGGCATTTCCTAACAGATGTCCAAGATACGGTGCCTTCAAGGTATTTACAAAAATGATGATAGCCTCATTTTCTAATAATGGAGGCTACACCTGTGATGCCATATCACGCCACATCTGGGTGTATTGCCTAAAGGTTTCATTTTTTTTGTTTCTCCATGTTTTACAGAGTCCATCTATCAGGTACTAAGTCGGTGACATGGTGGTACTGCTCAAAAAATACCTTTACTAAATCCCTCCATGATTTAATATGGGATTTTGTTAACTGGTTGTACCATTTTACAGCCGACCAGGTTATACTATCCGAAAATAATGTATCAATAGCTTTTCATTCTCGATAAAACCCGCCATTCTTCAACAGTACATACTGAGGTGAGCATATGGAAAGGTGGTCCCATCGTACTTTTCAAAGTCTGTTACTTTGAACTTCGGGGAAAGTATAAGATTAGAAACTAAGCTTAGCTCCCTTACGTCTATCCCATAAAACGATTCTACTT